TAATTTTCCTAATCAATTTTGATCTTTAATTCAAGTGTTGATATAGCTTATAATCACTTTTGATTATAAGTGGTTTTTATGTATCAATACAATCAAGGGAAAAATTCTGAAAATTCACTTGCACACCAAGTGTTTGATAAATTGACTTAACTAATTCTTTTTATATTACCATTGGAAATAGCCTTGCTAAGTGAAATTAATTAAACGGTAAATAATTTGAAAAGTGATTCAAGGTTATTAATTCACATTATCATTCTCATTCTATATAATTTTTTATTTACGGTTTGCATATTCGGGCTTCCCGATAACATTCGTATATACGACAATTTGAAAAAACTTTCGCGTCGTACTTTGATAAAACTTTTTCAAAACCAAATTTTATTTGGATATTTTTAAAAGGGTATCTATTCAACCCCCCCCCCCCCCCCCCCCCCCCTAGACATTGTTGAAGTCGTCTAACAAAAATTAATATTAAAAATGATTTAATAATGGAAAATAAAGAGAAAATGCAAAAGATGCATCAAAACATCAAATAAAAATCCACTGAAATTTGACAAAATCAGAAAAACTCCAAGGATCATGATCTTAAAAGTTGGACTCCAAAATGATTGAAAATTAATTGTTAGAAGAAAATTAAAATGAAAACAAAGAGAAAATAGGGGGAAAAAGCTAAAAATCATTTTAAAATTCTGAATAAAAACATATGTGATAGAAAATATTTTTTATGATTTATGAAAAATTGGAGTGAAAAATAATAAATGAGCTATTTAAAATAATTTTTGAAAGAAAAAGAAATTAAAAGGAATTAAAATTATATTAAAAAAATGTCCAGCGGATAGCATGCGTAGCGCCTTTCTAATTCAAATTTCGCTCCAGAACACGCGCACAACTTCATCTTCAACCTTGGAACTTCGATTTTGCAAGTTCATGAACTTGAAGTTTTAAGCTCAAACACCAAACATGCAAGCTTGTACTTCATTCATCGTTCATGCCTCTCTGCATCAGAGCAATTTATTCACTTTGAGCAGAGAGAATTTTGCAGAAAACACAAAAAACCTAGATCTTTCAAAGTTAAATTAAATGACTAATACGCGAGATAAATCAAAGGTAAGTGAAGGCTTAGCATCATAAGACCAAGACGAAGAAAGTGGTAACTTGTTTGTGCTGAGATTTTACTCGTATCTACCTGTTCAAAGAAGCTTCGGAGGTCAGAAATGGTGACATCAGGTTGAAGGTTGCATAAGGTGTTGAACTTCTGTAATTCTTCAAGTAGCTTTTAGATGATGCCAATGAAGAATTCTGGGCAGATATTTAGAGTTAAGTTAAGCTAAAAACAAAGTTAGGGTTTCTGGTTTTTGAGCTTGTTTAGAGTGAAAATGGATGAGGTTATGTGGCTCTCAAAGCTTGAAAATGAAGGCAAAATGATGCTTTATTTATAGGAAAGGGAGTGAGGTCATGGTACGTTCCAAATGAGATCCCAAACATGTGAACCAAGTTGAAAAAATTCTAGATTCAATCTATGTGAAATGAAGCACCAAATGCGTGAGTTTTTGATCAATTTCAAGTCGTTTTGTGTTGTGTGAGTCACGTTTTGAAATAAGATACAAGTTTGCGCATGGTTTGGTGGTTCCAATTTTAGTTTTAGGTCATTTCCAATTACGGGTCATGTACCAAAAATGTAGAGTTAGGACACCATGTTCAAGCTTAGGCCAATAGAATCCACTCGTGCGTTTTGATATTTTCTTCATGCTAAATGTTATTCTCATGAAAGAGAATACAATGCAAAAAGAACCAAGTCAAAAGGGTGCTTGAGTTGAAAATGACATTGATGTAAAGTTGAGGTTGTGACATGAAATTACAGGTCAGACATTAGGTTGACCACGTCATAAACCTACTTTTATGCATAAATGGCAGTTGAGCAAATTCCAAAATTGATGGACTTAGAGGCTGAATTGATGATTGGCCCTTGAAAAAAAGTTGTAGAAGACTTTAAAAGGGACATTTGACTCAAAGAAGGTCTAAAAAATGTTGAGAAATGAAGAAGTTGTGGTATTTTGACCAAATTACATGCCATTCTTGAATTTAGGTCAACCAACCATGTACCAACTTGAGATTTCTTGACTTTTCTTGTATCCAAAGGCTCAAAGTTAATCATTTGAAAACCACATGAAATAAGATTGATTGTGCATTGAAGAGACTTGATATTTGCTTGAGAAATTGATGAAGATGACATAGAAATAAATACATGAACCATACTTGATTCAACTTGAAAATCATGCATCAAACTTGAACTTATCTTGATCAAACAATGTTGAATGAAACTTGAGATGAAATTAACCTAAGATTATAGGTCATGCCTTGAAGAATTAGCTTTGACGGACCACTTTTTGACCAAACTTTGAGCTTGAAAACCAAAACCTTAATTTAGCAACCACACTTGATCCTTTGATTGGAAAACCCTACCTTGCACAAAAATAAAACAAAGCAGGATATATTTTTGTATTTTGAATAAGGGTTAATAAGCATAAAAGCATAAAGGCAAAAAGAAACACAAGTGTGCTTGATAATCACTCCTACAAGACAAACCCAAAGGTTAGGAGGATACCATGCTTTTGGTCTTGATGAAATGAAAATGAGTTATAGGTGAAATCTTAAGGGTAAAAATTAGGGTATGACACACACCTCTACTTTAGTAATTTTGGAGAGAAGAACCTCCTTCTTTTTTCGTTAGATTTATCGATCTCGGTCACAACCATACACAAATGACAATCTTGTAATCTTCAAGAAATCTTCACAAAAAATTAATCACAAAACGATCCTTCTCATGCATATCTCACATCCTAAGATGAGAACTTAATCTAAAATGATGAATGATGTAAGAGGTTGAAGATGGAGAGATTTGGTTGCAAAATTCAAAACTCCTTTTGAAAGTTTGAGAGAAAATGTGTGTTGTAAGTTATAAATTATAGAGTGGTTATGAGAGATTTTGGGGGAAATAATGTATATATGTGATGGAGATAAGACACAAACATGAGAGAGACAAAAGCCATTTGATTAGAGTCACAAACAAGAAGTATAAGTCGAGTCAAGAGAGTGAATAATTAGAATCAAGATCCAAGAATCAAGACAAACTACTCCTATGATTCGAATCAACCATTTTATGATTCGAGTCATGTGATTCAAGTTAACAAGATATGTGATTCGAATCAGGATCACAAAATCAAAATCCAAAATTCGCTATCAGACTTTGATTCGAGTTAAGCATGTCTGTGATTTGAATCAAACCTCTCTAATTCAAGTCGTGCATTATTGTGACTCGAATCAAACTCACATAGGTAAAATCTTGTTTTTCATAATTATGTTTGATTTGAGTAAGGCATTTTACTATTCGAATCAGACTCACATAATTATGTTTGATTTGAGTAAGGCATTTTATTCGAGTCAGTCATCCTTGTGATTCATATCACACTTTAATATTTTCACAATTTTAATAAAAAAATGTGTAAATTTGAATCGAGACTTAGTACAACCTAAACCATTCTCAAATCTATTTCTTGATTCAAACCTTCGACTATAATTAGAAACATATTGCAAAGACTTTAATCAAATGCTTTGATTTATATATATGCATAAAAACGATAAAGTACTAAATACTAAAATGTGTAATTATGTGAAGAGACTCAATTACAACAAAAAAAATTAAATTGACAAGTAAAAAAACATAAATAAATAAATAAATAAAACCCTAAGAGGCAGGGGTACTTCATACTTGAGTAGTAAGGTATTCTTTCAAACACTTTTACCAATAAATGTGGATGATAAAGATTGATTTTGAATTAGTAAATAAACACTTCATATAATAAATTCATATAATTAAATGAGATAAATGGAAATAAGTGTGAAAGAATCATATATTAAACTCTTATTTTTTAGCTATTCGTCGATCGTACTAAATTATTAGAATAGAATTTTTCTCAACCAAACCGTTTATTAAACCGAATTGTCAAGTTATTTTTCAATTTAAAAAAAATGTTTTTAAATTGTTTTAAAGATTTTTTTTATTTACAATTTTGATCCAGTTCAACTTCAGTTCCAATTTCGATTCTAGAATTATTTGTGTATTATAATTTGGTTCACTAACCGATTCGACTTCAGTTTTGATTCTAGAATTGTTTGTGCACTATGATTTAGTTCCCTAACCAAACGTAACAGTTCGATTATTTTAACTTCAATTTAATTCGACATTTTTTTGAACAATCCTACATAGACAAAAGTTGATCCATATATCCAAGTTTAGGTGGTCGTTGGTTATTAGGATGTCGATTTAGCATATCAAAATTGCTAAAAAGTATACGACATATTAAGCAACAAGTTGAATAATATGAATTGTGATTCATTAAATTTACTACAAGATTTGTAACTAAATGCCAAAATAGCCCATTCACATATCACACTTTTCTGAAACCCATTTACTAGAATATCCATAGCACAATAAAATAAATGAAGCTCCATTACAGCATCAAGACACACTTTGGTTATTTCTAACCAAAGACTTTGCATCTCATGTACCATCCAATGACATGTTAATTGAGTCTTACATTGCCCTCACCTTAGAATTAACTTGTGTTCTTCCAACAATAATAGTATATCCTACAAAAACACTACTAAACAGACTAAAAAAGAATTATCCCACATCATGTACAACCAAAGATTTCAAGGACTTCCCTTTCCATCACACACCAAAACAAACAACCCAATAGCCTAAACATTACATCACATGTTGTTTTCTAAAATTACATCCTTGACCATGGTTAACAACTTGGAGAGGGAAGGGAAATGACAAGAATAACCCAGAGTAAAAACTTCTCAATCATTATGCAGGAATGTGAAAGTGCACAACTCTTTCCATATCATCTTTAAAATTTTGATAATGAAAAGCAGCATGGATGCAAAGGTGGTGCCTTTCTCGAGGGTAGTATCCACATTATCACCAAGTTGCTTCAAGATGATATGGGTTCGTAAGGGTATGATAACCACGGGTGCTTTAGAGCCTCGGATGCCGAAGGCCGCTTCTTCGGGTTAACCTCGAGCAAATGAGCAACAAAGTCAATGAAACCTTGGTCCCCCATCGGTAATCTATGCCTCAAGGATGTCTTTTTCGGAATCAGGTATTCTAACCTGTTGCTTTCCTGCACATCAATGAAAACACTTCCTTTTGCTTTACAAACACAATGCAAATGAAAATATATGAATTGTTTTAAGATTGTTTTGCTAATCCATTTCATACGCAGAGAAACTTTAAAAATAAAATTCTAACCTGATTCCTTTCATAAAGCATGTGATTTTTTGTGAAGTACTTGTATGTATCCCGTCCTTTTGCTAGCATACTTTGACCAATTGGACCAATGATCCCAATTACTCTAGCTAGTAATGTTGCGGGGGAATCATTTTGGAATAAGACCTACAGCAGGCATAATAAAGAAAGAAAATCTATGAGTGTATTTAACAGAAAAAACAAAAACAAAAAAGACACTCCTATTCGCTTTCACAGTTTCACCCAAAAAAGAACAATAAACCTACAACTGAAAAGAAAGCCACTTTACCTGATGTGTCACAAATCATTTTTACATCTAAAAGATACTTGGTTAAGTTTTCAGATAAAATAGAATAGGACGACTTGTTCAGTCCTATTCTCTATATAGTTCCACTAAAACTACACAAAAAAACACTACTAGTTTCAACCAAAAGCGGATAGCAGAAAACGGTAGTTATCCTACACACAAGTTTTATAGCACTGCTATTTGAGAACATTTTGTACTAAATAGTGTATTATGGAACAATAGTTATTTGTTCAAATTCCGTTGTGTAATCCTATTCCAAAGAATAATCTTCCAACCAACTTAATCCATAAAGCGTGAATGAAATCCCCAATGCCCTTATTGCCTAATAAAAGCCGAATCACCAAGATTCCCCTCCCTACAAATGTGGTAACCATATGCTAGCTCATTAACTAAATCTCCCTTGACCATACTCTCCAAGTAATGGGCCTCTTGGATTCAAACATCTAATCCAATCCCAACCAAATGCCATCTTTGGACACACGATTCCACTAAAGATACAAAGAAACAGTGTTGTCAATCAGGGATCGCAAGAAAAAGCAGTCTGTTCACATTCTGCTACACAGCAGTTTTGTAGTGGCACTACAGCCACCATTTGACAACATTTTGTACTCCCTCCGGCCCTTATTATAATAAACAATTCACTTTTTGGATTCATTGAATAACTAATGTATCTGATTTATAATGTATCTAGTTTATATATATTAGATACATTGGTTAATCAATGAATCTGAAAAAGTGAATTGCTTCTCATAACAAGGACAGGAGGGAATACTAAATAGCACACTGCCGAACAATAGCGACTTGTTCAAATTCCGCTATGCTTTAGCCGCTATTTAACAACACTCAAGTTTATTTAAAATAAAAAAATAAAAAGAATTATGCCATTTAGAAATTGAATTGACTATCTATTATTCTTACATTGCCAGTACAAAGTTCTGCCAGGATGCATCCAAGGGACCAGATATCAATCTTCTTGTCATACGAAAGCCCGAGAATAACCTCAGGAGCACGATAGGACCTGGACTGAACATATGAGCAAAGGTGATCTGTCTCAAAACAACTACTTCCAAGATCAATGACCTTCACCTCACATCGGCTGTAGCTTTTAACCAAAATATTCTCCGGCTTCAAGTCACAATGTATTAGTCCAAGGTTATGTAAATACTGAAGTGCTTCCAAACATTGAATGGTAATTGACTGCAAAAACAAATCAAGACACATTTATAATGTAACAGTAGTAGAATCAATACTTAATGCCTTTTTATAGAAGCATATATACTACTGTAAAATTGTAAATAAAAGTTCAAATGAAAGGTAACATTGGAAAAAATAAAAGAGCTTAAATGAAGGGCAATATTTCTCTTCTTTTAAACTCTTCTATTTACAATTTTTACCCTTCAAATTTGAATAAAATCAAATCTATTATAATCCTTAAATCAATCTAAACATATGAAGCACGGACACCAATATTGACACATCGACACCGATAATTTGAAAAATGAATAAATTAAACATAATCACAAGTATTGGTGTCGGTTTCAGACACACCTTTTTTCAGAGGCATTGGTGCTACAGAGATCTAAACTAATCGTAATTCAATTTTGAATTAAAAATGTGGCAATTGAAATAAAATTAACAATACTAAATGATAGAATTTTGTCCAAAACTTCGTGTTTAATTTTCATCGAAGCCGACTGTGGTCTTTATTAGGCAAAAGCAGGCAGACTGGCACGTTGGTGCCTGTCTGCACGCTATTTGTAGATAAAACGAAAACAAAGAACAAAATGTGAACAGAACCCGACAAACCTGCAATCTTGGCATTGTAAAGTAGACTTCCCCTCCTGATTCTCTGTTAAATTTATGAAACTCGTATAAGTTGGCTTTGAGTAGCTCACATACTATTAACAAATGTTCCTGCAGTGCGACAACAGAAAGGAATGGTGAGTGGAAAAGTCAGATGATAATGTTAAAATTTCCTAGGAAGGGCAATATCTAATGTTGCACTACAACTACAATTGATTGAAAGGAAAATATAATAGTATTAATAAGATCGGTTGCGAATACAAAATAACTTACTCTATAGTAGAAGTAATCATATAACCGCAAAATGTGGTACTTGTCTCCAGGATCATGCTTATTGACATACTTGAGGAGTTTGATCTCATCGAGGCTTTGATCAAAGAAATCCTTGTTGTTCTTTATAATTTTAATACAGACATCCACACCCGTATGCAGGTCATGAGCTTGAATTGCTTTACTGAATGCTGCAGATCCCAGATACTCGGTGACATGATAGCGGCCAGCTATTACAGAATTTAAAACAACATGGAAATTCTTGTCCTCCTCAAAGCCAGTTCTGAACAAAAAAACATTACTATTACACAAAGGCGCGAGTACAAGTTCACATTATTGCTAATAATGAGAAATAATGAATTTTACTTATCATAAATCATTGATATACTCGATTCTGTAGTTTAACAAAGCAATGGATGTTTAACAAATCAGAAAGGAAATGGAAAAGTTGCCGCCATTGTAGTTTAATATTGTTTTTAACAAATCGGGATATTTGTGCTTAGTTAGGGTCTGAAGATTAAATGAACGCCTGTTACAAACGATTAAAAAAATTTGTATCGGAAATTCATAAGCGAAGAGAAATATGAGCTAAAAAGACAACATTCTCAATATGAAGTTAAAGTTACAATGTAGGGATGGACAAAGCCAATACCATATTAGTTCAAAAACTCATCTTAATTTCTATTAAAAAAACTTGAATACTTTGCAGATCAATGAAAATAGTAAGCATGCTTATATATTGAAGACGTGCCTGTTTTTCCTGTGCACAATCTTTAGATTGAAGGTTTCAAATTCCTCCTCCTGAGCCTTTATCTGCCTTACCTGCTCTTGCACAGCAGCAATCTCTTCATCTTCTTGTGATACGCCTAAATCATCTTCCCTTGTAATGTCAACCTCTTCATCGTCTTTTTCTAGCTTGACACGCTCTTTATCAGCGTACACATAATCATCGACAGTAGTTGGGGAAGAGTTTGAGGATCTAGCCACGTTAGCGTTATTCTCATCCCTAGAACTTTTCTCGGGTGAAGAATCACTGCTCTTCTGCCTCCAAGATGAAAGCATTTCATCAGATCCCTCGAAAGCATTAATACAGTCATTGGTTTCATCCGCGTTATTACAATTATTTGACCATGGAGTCTTACTAGAACCACCTTGAATTATCTGGCTATCATTAAGAGATTGAGGGAATGAAAAGTTGCCATCGGTATGTGTTTTTATTTGTGAGTGTGCATCTTTATGACCTCCAATGACATATTTATTCGACTCAATCAAATCATTTTTCTTATTTTTGAATGATTTGTCCATAGAATTCTTAACAAAATCACGATGAGAGTGTTTGGATCCCCCAAGTCCACTATCACGATCACGAAAATATTCTAAATCCCCTTCACTACTACCACCAATAAAACTTCCATGCACTTCACTGCCGATATCAGCAGCATCACTGTTGAAACCCACCCCGATTGACCTAACTGAACCGTGTTGATCATCTTCCATTTCTTCAAGCCGTGATCTTCCACTATGATTCAGAACTTTTCCATCTCCCAACATGATTAGATCATTTGTCTGAGGGACAAAGCCTTGCCAGACGGGTTCTGCGTGCATCAGATTCAGCTCTTCTACATCCATCAGTTCTCCGTCATATTGAGCCATTAAATCATTGCCATTAGCCCTTCCATACATATTAGTAACCGTTATACCGATAGGATCATCTGAACCTGTGACAGGCTCAACATTCTTTGCTTGAAGATATTGCTCTCCAGAGAAGTAAGAATCTTCTTCAGCAAAAGATTGATCATCATCATCATCTTTGGCTTGACCTCTTTCCTGAGGATCAGGAACACTTCCATGTCCAGTCCCCTTTTCATTGTCACTAGGGTAATCAATTTCATGTGCCAGAAACCAGGCCTCATCCTCAATAGGTTGTCGCATGTATCCGACATCGTCGTCATCGTCATATTCATCAGAGTCCCAATATTCATTTGGATAATCAACGGATTCGCTCAACCCATCACCAACTGTAGCAAAACCTGATACAAGATCAGATGTATCCTCTGATATTCCTTGACTTACGGACAGCCAACTTCCCCCTGTAGCCTTCCTCATACCTAAAACATATACGAAAAGGTCAAAAATCATATACAACCAAATACTTGTGAGAAAACAAGCCTAATGATTCGATATTCAATATGATGAAAGCAATTTACGTGCTAAAGCTGATAAGTGGAATACTAATCATATTCAATATCGCAAAACGTCAAAATTCAATCCAAATGGCATCAAAATGAATCAGTATGTCAAACTGTCGTGCATATAAACCTAACACCTGAGAGAAGCCTAACGATTTAATCAACACATAAAACAGCTGGTTTACAATACAAACTACAAAAGAACATTATTGATTATCAAACCACTAAGTGTAAGTTTGATTCCACTCTACTTCTAGGTGAGGTCAAATTGATTCGGGAGGAGTATAATTGATTTTGACATGTTAGAATGTTCTTTAGTAGATTATGCTTCCAAAATTGATTCTAAACTTGAATTTAGAATTTGAAGGTTTTGCATCTAAAATTGGTATTTAGCCTCAAATTTTTTGTCCAACCCACTTTTATGAGAATATTTTCAAACATAAATCACTTTATATTCAACGGTATCAATTTTACAAATTAATTCATTCAAAAAAAAAAAAACAGTCCCCGCAGAACCAAACACACAAAACGACATGACAAACCAACAAATGAGGCAATAAAGTGGAGAAACAGCTACGAATCATGTACAAAAGCTTACCTGCATTTTTAATTTCTTGTCCAATAGGGACATCCAGATATGATCCAATAAGTAAGTTGCTGTCAGCACTAGCGAGCTTTGCAGCCAATCCATCAGATTCAAACTTCTCGTTCCAATTAATAGTCAAGGGCTTATCTTCAGACTTAATTTTTACAGGTGGAAGCCTTGGATACTCTTCCTTATGCTTCTCTGGTGCAATAGGAAAAGTTAAGGTACCAATGTTATTTTGTTCAGAACTTCCTTGCAATTTCGCCAAGTAAAAAGCTCTCCCGACTTCATCCACCTGCTCTTTTATATAAGCCCTCGCATCACTGATTTCTGACTTTCTCTTTTCATCAACTTTTTCAGAGTAATTTGAACTGCTGTAGCTTGTAGACACATCCCCCTTTGGGAAAGGGAAAACGGTCTTGATGGAACAATCTTTCCATACGTCAGAAGATGAATTGGCATTCTCGTCAGCTCTCAACAAGACGTTATCTGCCAAGTTCTCTTTAAGTGATGAACTATTAAATTTAAGTTGCTGCCGATCAATTTCCTTAGATTCTTTGTTTTGTGCAATGTTAAACTTTGGATCCGTAGAGGCTTTACCACTACTACTTCCAACGCACGGTGATTTTTTCTCGGCGGACACACTATTTTCCTCTGCGGTTTTTACATTACTGTTGGCTGCATCAAAGGTCTCACTCGTTTGATTTTTTGATTGCTGAGAATTTGAAGCCTTCAAAGTATTACTAGCCTTGCTTCCACCATCGTTTTGATTGATCTTCCACGACTGTAAATCAAACACACTGTCCTCTGAACTCTTCAAGAAAGTGAAATTCGTCCCACTCGTTCCAACAACTTCATTAGATTTATTCCTTTCCTCAGCAGGAGTGGCATTTTTCCATTTGCTCTCAGTAGTATTTCTACCGGTACCACACTCAATCTCCTTCACAATCAATTCTTTAGAAACTTCAACATTATCACGAGAATCCACCCCTCGATTTTCTACCACTAACTTCCCCTTATCACTCTGCGGCAAATCACACAAGTTCTTTTCTTCCAAGGTAAGCTTCTGTAGGAACCCATTCACATCAGAGCAGTTATTGAGCTCACTTCGAAAAGCTGCCTCAGCTCGTGTGAACCGGTTCCTCCTCAAAAAATCCAAAATCCCTTCAACTGTATTTGTCTCAGCCATTGTCAAAGCTTTACAGACCTAAACACAAACTACAAAATAAAAACACAAAACAGACTTCATGAAAGAACAAAAAAAACACAAGTGTTTTCATTCCAAATTAAGCCCAAAACAAAACAAAGAAAAACACAAATAGAAATGAAGTACGGACACAGACACGGACACCGGACATGACACCGACACAGACATAGACACATCGACATCGGTAATAGTTTGAAATAATTAATAAATTGAACATAATAACAAGGACCGGTGTCTAATGTGGACTCTGACAAGCCATTTTTCAGAGGTGACAGTGCTACAGAGATAGAAAGAAGTACACTAAGGATCTTACGTAATTAAAAATAGAACGCATTCCGGAAAGTGTAGTTTCAAAGACACAAATGCATTAAATGTAACATATTTCATTCTTTCTTCCATAAATACTTAGCATTTCTCAATTCTTAATTCTTAACCAGTGTACTTAGTAACTCATTGGCATGCTCCAAAATTTCAAACAAACAAAAAACAAAACCCATAAATCACATTCACATGGCACAACCATTACTTCCGCATACAAAAACATGAAACATCGATAAAGTTAGAGGGAAATTAAAGAGCTCACTTACTTACCTAGTATTATCAAGCATAATCAAATTTGTGCACCATACCACCTTTGCAATTGCAAATTAGAATTAGTACTGAACCTGAATAAAGCAAAACCCAAACAAACCCAGAAGCATAAATGTTTGTTTCATCTAGAACATAAAACCTCAACAACCAAACTTTCAGCTTAACAAAACTGTTCCTTGAAAACAACGAAACCCAGAAGATGGTTCCAAACAAAAACAAGGTGAGATTTTCACAATCACCGATCCAGCACGAGAGCGGAAAATAACAGACACCCAGAAACAATCAACCAAAAGGGTATCCAAATTTTCGTAACACAAACAAAAAAATAGCAACAAAAAAAAAAAGAAAAATTGCGAGGTTTTTGCAAAGTGGAGATTTCTGAGAGGTGAATCCAAGTATTGTCAAGATCTGACATTTACATTAGAGAATGATTTTCTAGGTTTGTGATTGAAGAATAAGAAAAATGGGGTCCCCTAAAAATGACGAAAGAGCGAGAATTTGAAAATGACAACAGTAATAACAATTGAGAAAAAAAGAGAAGAAAAAAAACATAGAAATTAAAAGTACCTGAGAGAGAGAGAAGCTTGTGTTAGAGGGAGAAAGAGAGAGAGGGGGTTGGGTATTTCGTTGGTTGGTTGCTGGTTTGGCCGTCTGTGGTGATGAATTGAGGTGGTGGTGGTGAATGGTGATGGTGGTGGACCAAGCCCTTCTGTTTTTTCTAATATAAAGATTCTATATGTGCCTTTTACAATAATAATAATAATAATAATTTATATAACTTTCATAAAAAATATTTATATTATTGTGCTTAGTATATTCTTTTTTTTTTTTTGTTAGTAATTTTATAATTTTTTGAATAAAAATGTTTATTTTTATTTTGTTTCAAAAATATTTTTATTCTAATTGAGCTTAGGCTATTAATTTTTATTCTAATAATTTTTTATTAATTAAATGAGTTTAATTTGATACCCTACCGGATCTTTCCTAGTTTGGAAATGAAAGGCACAAGGCATATTTGAAATTCTGCTTGATGCTTATACATCATGTACTCTTGGATCTAGTTAATATCTAATTAACACTTAATTATAATTTTATGGAGTATTTATTTATTTATATATGTTTATTGAATTTCATCTCCGATATTGAAATTATTAAGTTTTGAGTTTTATTTATATTTTGATTAAAAAAATGAGCTAATATTTTAAATGTTGTGAAAATTGATCAATATGAATGAAATTGTAAGAAAATGTTTTAGAGAATAACTAGTAACAAATTCGTGCTATCGCACGGGTCTCGTCTGGATTCACATTACATTTATAGATTATTAAATTATTAAGTATGTTACCATGTTTTCAGTTGAGTATATGTCTCATGTAAACCATGTTGGCATTTAACTCCATATTTATAGCAAGCGTCGGTCCTATCAACAAATCACGTCTGCATGAACAAATAGGAAAAATTATATACTTCTTGAAATACATGGAAAATGTACATACTATATATTTTAATTCAAAATAGATTTTTAATTTGAATCGTAAAGTATAAGATATAAAGTTTATCAACTATCAAAGTGCTTGAAAGACTTCCTTGTACACAACATTAGTAGTAGTAGAACATGGTACATTCTCCTTGTCATGAATTAGGATTTTTAGCCCACTTTTGCTCTTAACTCTTGAAATTGCAACATATAATTTACCATGACTAAACACAGGAGTAGGCAAATACAATCCAACACTATCAAGAGATTGACCTTGTGACTTATTAATTGTCATTGCATAGGAGACAATAATCGGAAATTGTCTCCTAATCAACTTGAATGGCCAAGGTGAATCAGAAGGTGACATAGACATCCGTGGAATGTAAAAAATGTTACCTATGTTCTTTCCAGACATGATTTTTGCCTCAATGACATGATTTACAAATCTTGTAACAATTAATCTTGTTCCGTTGCACAACCCATCGGTTTGATCCAAATTTCTCATTAGCATAATAGGTGTACCAACCTTCAATTTGATCCTATGATTGGGAAGCCCTGACGTTCTTAATTTACTGAGAAATTCAGGAGTTAGAACTTCATATGCTTCAGTATAACTTGAATATGTTCTATCAATGGAATCAAAACTCAAATACTCTTTCTCTTCTCCTAAAAAAAAGTTTAAAAGCAAAACATAAATAAATTAGTAAAACTATGTTCTTATATATATATATATATATATATATATATATATATATATATATATATATATATATATATATATATATATATATATATATATATATATATATATATATATATATATTGTGAATGTAATAATACAGTAAATATAAAACACATGTACCTGGTATCAAGTCTAATACATAATGATTGATTTTGTCCACAACTTCAATGGTTGAAGCAAGAATAGCCTTTCCTTGTAAGAATTCAACATCTTGATATTTTTCCAACAAATTGGGATATGTGTTTTCAACAATTGCTCTTATAGGATCATCAAAATTTGATATTAATAGCTCTTGAGGAATTTCAATATCAACCAAACCATCATTGGGTTCACAAATCTTACCATCACCCACATTTAAAATCCATTTTGAAAATTCCGCTAGTTCATTAGAACTTGTGTTGTCTCTTCCCTCTTGAAGTCTCATATTTTTTTATAGTGTTAAAACCTGGCAATAATCCCATACATAAGATGAACTAATTGATGCATGAACAATATCAGAACGCCCAGCTCTTGGAACAACAGGAAGAATTTGTCTAAAATCTCCTCCAAATACAACAACTTTTCCACCAAAAATAGTATTCTCAACACCCTTTTTGCTCATTACATCTTTAAGGGTTTTATCCAATGCTTCGAAGCAGTTCTTGTGAGACATAGGTGCCTCATCCCATATTATCACATCCGTTGTTTCAAATAATTGAGAATGTTCGGTGTCTTTGTCGATGTTGCAAGTTGAGTTGTCAAGCGTTGGCACATGTATTTTGAACTTTGAGTGTGCTGTTCTTCCACCCGGCAATAATAACGAAGCTATCCCACTTGAAGCAACAGTAAGAACAATTTTTTTTTAGAACGAAGTGCACTTGATAGTGTTCTCCACATGAAAGTTTTACCAGTCCCTCCGTAACCATGCAAGAAAAATACCCCTCCACTCTGTTTGTTAACAGCATCCATGATTTTCTCAAATATCAAACGTTGTTCATCTATAAAATACAAACCAAAAATTATAAGTGCAAGGACAATAAAAATCATTTTTGTAATTCATAGTATAAAGAAAATAAATCACCTGTAAGGGCATGAAAAAGTTCTTGGAATTTCCCATCAATTCCCATAATCTCAAGCTTGTATCTATAAGAATTAAAGTAGGTAATTAAACAATATTACATAGTGAACAACAATGGACTACATTATTCAAACAGGTACAGAACATAATGTTTTAACTCACACCTCGGTACGATTTCAGTCGTTATATGATTCGCATAACACTTCAAATTTCCTTCCTTCAGAGACACACTTTTAGTACAGACACCACAACCATCGTAATACCACCCCGCCTGGCCAGCCTCAAATTTGTCCAATGTCGCAACGGTCACACAGGTTGTCTCCTATGGAATAAAGAATGCGAAATAAATATATCATATACAAAGTTATGAGATAAATAAAATATTTACTTAATTTAAGCTTACATATTGAAGACTTGAGATTTCAGCCAGACTAATAATTTCTGCCTTCCATATAAACTTATCAAATTCAGTATACTGTGAGTTTTGGGTGGTTTCAACTTGCAAGGTAGACTGCGATAACTTTGGCAAATCATTTTGAAGACTGTGATGTATAACACAGTGAAAAAAACAATACATAAAATGTTATTAGCGGTTATAATGGATATTAAAATTGTATACAGGAACAGGATTTGACCAACAAAAAATTAACTACCTTTCTTTCAGCTTACTAATTTCAACGATGCTAACATCATTGATAGTTAACTTAGTGCCATTCCATGCGTTGGATACATTCAAAGGGAAACCACCTTTGATATATAAAAAAACAATACTGTAAGCACGTGATCAATCCACATATTACTTCAATGGAGATGATTTAATTTGTAATCAATTTAATACATCAGTAAATAATATTATGCAGCCCAATTAACACTACCTTGGGCGCCTTTTATCCTTGCATTCTGCAATAGAACAACAACATTTCCTTCTTCATTATGAGTCTTGTAATATTCATAAAACTGCAAAGCCAGCTGTCCCCATAAAGTACACTGAACGAAAGATTTGCTGTCAGGAAAACAGATCCAATAAAAATGAAGTCAAAGAATAAAATTGCACAGTATGTAAAAAAAACTATAACCATACCTCATATCGGTTATTATAAACACAGCCTTGCTTTTGTTATTATCAGCATTGATTTGAGTTTGCACAATCTCAGTAACTCCTCCAACAACATCTAAGCAAGATCAAATTTCAAAAGTTATCAAACATCCAAGGAATCAACGAAATAAGGTAATATAAAGATATGAATAAACGTACCAACCAACAAATTAGACTGAAACTTTTCATCAACAATGGTGTCCAACCCAATAATGTTTAAAAAATTTACAGAAATGTCTGGTAATTCTGTTTTCCTAATAAAAGTTGAACCACAAAAGACCAACTTGAAACCATGAGTACTTGATTTGAATGAGAAATCATTATTCGAGACTTTGAAATTCTGCATTATGTATGACCCTCCAATAGCAAGTTCAACCAAGTATCTTGACACCAAAGGCGGTGGGACAATGGCTTGAATCATATCCAGCTGCAAAATGTAAAATTAACCGTGGGAAATTAGAACGATTAATTTAAACCTCCAACATCATATATTAACAAAAAAACCCTAATATTTATACATTTGAATCAACCAAAATGAGTTCTAAGTGTTGTTTGTTGGATGAACTTGTCACAGTCCACATATGTTTACAACGAACAGCAATCTTCCACAAATCCTTTGAGTCGTTGATGTCTTTCACAGCTTCAATCGGTCGCGCCATTGAAGAAGAATTGGAAAATAATACGTAACCTTTTGAAAATAATGGAGAATGAAGAAGATTGAGGAGTGAAAGAGTAAGGGTTTAGAATGGCTATATATAGGGTTTAGAATGCATGGGAAGTTGTGATATCTTGGAATATCAAAATAATCCATTCTAATTCCAATAATGTACATTTAATCTTGTAGTGTAATGATAAATAGTGGGTATTTTTAAATCATGCAATGAATAATATTCCATTTAATTATAATAGATCTAATTTGGCCATTCCAATTCCTTCCTCATTAACCGTGAGTCAAACATTAGAATTCAAATTCTGTCCAAAAAAAACATTGGAATTCAAATATAAATAAATTAACCGTGAATGAAACACTGGAATTGGAATTCAAATATAAATAAAATTCAAATATAAATAAAATAAATTAATAAATCAAATAAATAAAAAATAGTGTAAAATTATGATAGATTGACATGTCAGCAAAATTAAATGCCAAATGAATATGGTAACAGCATAGTGTTGATTAGTCTATTATACCCTTGGAATAAGAAAAGTTATAACATCTAATCAAAAGGTTAGACTTGGAATTTCCAGGTACTTTACTTTTAATAGATTGATAATAGATACTCATGCACTGCATTGATAGTGTAAAGAAATTTTACATGTCAATGAATCACAACCGTTGATTTGTTTTAAATATTTTATGAAAATAATATATTTAAATGGTTATGATGTATTGATGATGTAAAATTTTGGCTTAAATACACTTTGGTCCTCGTGTTTTAATCAATTTACGGAAATAGTTCTGCCTTTTTCAAATCAACACAATTGGTCCTTACCTCCACTCCCACCCTTCAGAATGCTGTGTAAAAAAAAAGGCGTACATGGCATTGCTTACATGGAAATTCACAATTTAAAATCCATTTTCATTATTTGCAAATAATCTGAAAAAACTTAAAATCATAAATAATCATAATCCCTAATTTATTTCAATCTCTTGTGTGTGTTTTTCTCCAATCTCTTGTTTCCATTACGTATTGGTCTTCCTTGGTTTCCATTCTCGATATTCTTGTCGTACTCGTCATCCTTGTTTCCATTACGTACTCGTTGTACTCGTCTTCACCGTTTTGTCCATCTTCATCAATGTCACAAGCGAGTTACATGTCGACTTCTAGTTCTGCATCACGAAGAAGACAAGTTCGTTGTTTCTGTGACCTTGATTCACCTATCACTATTTCGCGGACTACCAGAAATCCTGGGAGGAGGTTTAATGGGTGTGAGTTATACAAGGTAAGTGCAGTTGTGATTCTGTTTGTTTTTTAATGTGTTGCAGGGAATTTGGGTGCAGGTTAAACTCTATCAATCTTGTTTGTGAATGCAGTTGTAGGGAAGAAATGGATGCAATTTCTTCAATTGGTACGATGAAGAAATGTTCGTTCGTGTAAAGGAGGTTATTTTGTCAGTAATAAAGAGAATTGATGAACTTAAGAAGAAGGACAATATAAAGTTGAAACAAGATGAGGATTTGAAGAAGAAACTAAAGTTTTGGAAAGGATTGGTTTTTGCATATGTTGTTGTCATAATGGGATTGATCAGTATTGTTAAATTGAAGAATTGAAGGATGCGATGTTTAGGTGTTATGTCTTGAGACTGAATATGTTTACGTGTTATGTTTAGGATTGTTTAGGTGTTGTGTGGAGATGGTGTCTGTTGTGGTGTACTTATTCTTGTTTGAATGAAAATGAAAGTTGTTGAATCTCATTGATGTTTTAATGACAATGTAAAATTGAAGCAATTAATTGTGTTGAACCAAACATGGATCAATTGTCATTAAATTAAAGCATAATTGTCATTACATCTCTAAAATAGTTGTCATTACATCACCAAAATAGTACCATAATTATATCCAAACCAAAAAACATTAGTTTGTGGAGCATATATTGACAGCACATTTAACATATAAATTGCATCCACACAAAACAAAACAAAAAAACAACTTAAGTCTAATCTAATTTTGAGACGGTTGTGTCTGTGGAGCTTGTGATCCTTGAGCAATAACTTCATCATCATTTGCCTTCTGTTTCTTCTTGGGTTGCTTGTTTCCTCCCCCTTGGAATCTGCATGTCAACAGCAATTTTGCCTTTACATGTCCTACTATTATGTCTATACTTGCTACAATATGTGCATTTCATTGTCTTCAACTGTCTTGCTAGCACGCCATTATTCCTTGGCTCATCATTGGATCAGTTTCGTTGATTTGAAAAAGACAGGATCATTTTCGTCAGTTGATTAAAACACGAGGACCAAAAGTGTATTTAAGCTTAAATTTTTTTTATACCAACAATGTGTATCAACTAATTTCAATATTTTAAAAAGTTAAGTTTTGATATTATGAGTCTGTTTGGTAAGACTCGAAAAAGAACTTTTAGCTTTTAGCTTTTAATTTTTCAGCTCATATTAATGAAAAAGCTCTGTTTGGTAACTATATTTTTTTTACTAGCTTTTAGTTTTTTTTTAAAAGCTATTTAAAGTAGCTTTTGAGCTTGTAGCTTTTAGCTTGTGACTTTTTCTTTCATTTATACTCTTACTATTTTAACAAAAATATATTATTACCCTTCAATATACCACCTTATATATATATATATATATATATATATATATATATATATATATATATATATATATATATATATATATATATATATATATATATATATATATATATATATATATATATATATATATATATATATATATATATATATATATATATATATATATATATATATATATATATATATATATATATATATATATATATATATATATATATATATATATATATATATATATATATATATATATATATATATATATATATATATATATATATATATATATATATATATATATATATATATATATATATATATATATATATATATATATATATATATATATATATATATATATATATATATATATATATATATATATATATATATATATATATATATATATATATATATATATATATTCGCGTCAACTTATATGATGAATTTTGAAATAATGGTGAGAATTTTCAAATTATAGTGAAACGTTATAGGAGGATCAATGAGATCAACAAGACGAAAAAATCCAGAATATATATCATTGTAGTTTTATTGTAAAATATTAGACAATAAACTTATTATTATTATTATTATTATTATTATTATTATTATTATTATTATTATTATTATTATTTCGGATTAATATAAGTGAATTCAAAATTACAATGTTATTATTTCGTATAGAAGTCTGGGGCTTTATCTTTGTGTCTCTCTCTAGGAGAGTTGGTATGTGTGAACCATTCGGGTTGTGAGATGGTTATGGTGTTCTCACTCAGAAGCTGTGAAGCAATGAGTTGAGAATTATTTTTGGAGTAAGCTTGTAAGAAATTCCAAGTTGTGTTCTTAGTCAAAAGTGTTGGCTAAGTATTGTCATGGAAGTGAGTCTTCTGGTTGTTTTGTCATGGAAGTGTGTCTTTCTGTTTTTATTGATTCAATCATTGTCTGTGATTGATGAGGGATTAAGGAGGGTCTCATATCTAGGTGAGTCTTAGATAGGAGTCTAGCAAGGGTAGTGATTAAGTGATTAAGATGTAAATTAGAGGCTTGTTGTAGGATCTATGGATTGATACTATTTTAGTGGACTTATCCCTAGCTTGCTAGCCCCCGGAGTAGGAAGGTTGTTCTGAACTAGGTTAACAATTTTTGTGTGTTGTTTATGATTTTCAGTACTGGTTTTTAATTGTTTATACCTTGCTGCAATATTTGTGTCAGGTCACATGTCTCAACATGTCATAGGACATCTGAGTTTTGTCATACCATAATTTCAAAGTTCATAAATGTTTTTCTTCCTCTTTCATCTTCTTTCTTGTATGAATAACATATTCCCATAGAATTTTCTTTAGTTCATTCTTGGTTGAGATTAAATTAAAGTAGACCTTAGAATTGAATCCATGTATGATAAAAAGTATATAGTCTCATTAACATTAACCATAGGTCCATCTTTGCATGCTAACTTAGGTAGATGTTTCTCCTTTTATCCTAAATTTATGACCATAATTGCACGATAACATTAGGGCTCTAGTCTCTCATAGATTTTTTTCATTCCCCTTTTGCATATTTAAAACTAAAACTTCTTTTTCTTTATCAAACTCAAAAAACACTTAACAATAAAGAGGCAAACCATGTGTCACGAGCCTTAAGCACATGTGAAACACTCTGGATACAAGGCGTCTAACTCGAACATCCAAAGTCTCTCATGTCATAGTCCTTAACGTGGTTCAAATCACCAAATTATTTTTCAAAGTAAAAAATACAAACCAATCAAATCTCTTCTGCCTTCAGACTTTTCTTTGAAAATATTTTCACAAAAAGGGTGTATTATTTCCATTCTACCCAATACGATGCATAAGTCCCCAAAGGTCGGGTTGCAATATGTCAACGGCTAGAGTGCGAATGTAACATTATCTGCATAAAAAACACAAAACAAACCAAAACACATTTTTATGAGAACTACGAGTGCCCTGATCTCTCATTACACGAAGAGGGTACGTAGGCACAAAGATTCGCAACGTCGATGTCATACCCCAAATTTTCCCCACTGATATCAACAGTCATTATATGTTATTGTACTATTCTTATTTTTGTATTACTACGCATTTATTTTAAATAATGATACTAACTTAGTTTTATAGAATGTTGTTCCAAATTTTTTTGTTTTTTGAAAAAGGGGTGTATTTTTGTCAAGAGGGGGTATTAAGTTAGGTTTGAACCTTTTGGCCCATTAAGTTGAGGAGAAGCCCATAATATGGTTAAAAGGCTTCTTGTGATGTTGACTAAAGTCAATGTATGATCAATTTATATTTGTTTTATTGGACAAAATTTATATTAGTATTGCATCGTTATTATTTGACATTGATTGAAATAGATTGCCATTATTATTATTATCATTATTATTATTATTATTATTATTTTATTTAACTTTATTATCATTATATATTTGTTTTATTTAAGGTTGACTAAATTCAACATTAGGGTTATAAATCCTTTGTCCAGCTGTGCCCTGATTAGTTCTTTTTCCCTAAGTTAGTTTCAAGAGCCCAAATCTAGAATTCCAGTTGGAATCAAATTTAAATCAGAATCATAGATTTCAAATCAAATATTTTTGTTAATTTCAAATTTATACACAAGGATGCCCAAATACATCATAACACAAACCCTAATGCAAAAGTATAATCGAATCTAATGTTAATTTACAAATCAGATCAAATTGAATCAATTTGGAATCAATCAGATTCCAATTACAACCTATAACAGTAAATCACACTTACTAATTTCCTAATTGCATCTATTTCAAAACCTATATAAACCTAACACTAAAACCTAATTGAGCACGAAAAATCCAGGAGATAATTCGTGTTTGTTGCGTATTCCCCCACCCTTCACTAAAGCTCATCAGTTCAGAAAAGAGAATTAGGGTTTATCATTAGAACCCTAACTTCTTCGAGCTAAGCCTTCAGTCAGTTTGTACCTGCAAGAAGAATGAAGGAATCAGAAAGAGGCGAGAAAGAGGAATCAAAAGAGGAATTTTACTAAAAGAATCACTGCACGGACGGTAAGCCTAGTACACTTAGCTTAGGGTTTTGATTTTTTGTCATGGATGATTGGTTGTGTGTAATTGGTATTCGAATCCTTGATTTTTGGAATTTTTGGTGTTTATGGTTCATATTAGGGTTAGGGTTCTAAGGTTATAGGGTTAGGGTTCATATGGGTTTATTCATGGGTTTGGGTATTGTTAGGGTTCATGCTAGAACCCCCAGGGTTAGGGTTAATCTTCACAGGTTTCTTGGGTTGTTGTTAGGGTTCTTCAAAATCAGGGAAGGAGGATGAATTTCCCGACGAATATTCATCATGAACGACGACCTTCACGGGCGCCCATAGTGGGCTTTTATGTTCTAGGTTAAAGGTTTGAATTTATGGGTTTGGGTATGGAGGAAGGTGGTGGTTCAAGGCGCCTCAGCCAGAGGAGGTGATTTTCGATCACCGAAAATCGAGAGAGAGGGTAGAGCCCCTCTCTCTCTAAAACTATTATAACTGAAGAATGGGATAGAGAGAGAGAGAGAGGAGAAAATGAAAAAATGGCAAGTTGTGAAGAGAAACGCTTATATAATCTATTAGTTCCTCTGTGCACTCCATGTTAGCATACTCCCTAGTCAACTTCGCATTTGAACCCTCCATTTGTTATACTTTAAATCAACGATCTAGAATAAACTTTTGTTGGTCCTTTTGATTTGAATCAGACGTCTCCAGAAACGCGAGCATATCGTAACATTCTACGTCTTCCCACATTATGGCCACTGGATCAAACAAAGTTATCTGGGCCTATCCCGTTTCTAATCACACCCTTCAAATTACCCAATAAACTATAATTCATACCCCATGCACAATTGGGCTGAAACAAAATATTGGGCTTAAGCCCATTCTAATAACACCTCCCAGAAATTATTACCGAAGTAAAAATACACCCCCTTGGTTTTATTTAAATTTTTTTATCTAATTAAAATATTTA